TGTAACCTGTCCAGATCTGATTGCAGCCTGTCCCTCCCCTTTAGTGTGCCCACCTCTCCCCACATCTTAGTGTCATCAGCAAATTTGAACAAGGTGCTATTCATCCCCTCATCCAGGTCGCTGATGAAGATGTTGAACAGTGCGGGGCTGAGAACTGAGCCCTGTGGGACCCCACTGCCCACATCCCTCTGGGTCAAAAATGACCCATCCACCACCCCTCTCTGGGTGCGGCCCTCCAGCCAATTGGCGACACATCTGACCGTGTAGTGATTGATACCACAGTCATCTAATTTTTTAATGAGAATGGGGTGAGAGACAGTGTCAAAGGTTTTCTAAAGTCCAGAAAGACTATGTCCACCGCAACGCCTGCGTCCAAGGATTTAGTGACCTGATCATAGAAGGCCACCAGGTTGGTCTGACAGGACCTGTCTCTGATGAACCCATGTTGGTTGCCCCTAAGCATACACTTCCCTGCTGGTCCCTCACAGATGTGCCCCTGGATCATTTTCTCAAAGAGCTTCCCCAGGACTGAGGTAAGGCTAACAGACCTATAGTTTCCTGGGCCCTCCCTCCTCCCTTTTTTTGAAAATGGAGACCACATTGGCCCTCTTCCAGTCCCCTGGCATCTCACCATAGCACTACAAGTGCTCATAAAGCCATGCCAGGGGTCCCACAATGACCTCTGCTAATTCTCTCAGCACTTTGGGATGGAGATCATCAGGACCTGCTGCTTTGGATGCATCCAGTCCCACCAGGAGGTCCTTGACTAGGTCCACTCTGACCCTGGGCCTGGCTACGCCTCCCCTGGGACAGTCAAGGATCATGATGGGGGGGATGACCTGGTCCCTGCTCAGAAAAATGGAGACAAAGAAGTTGTTAAATAAGTTAGCTTTGATGTCTGGTGCAACCACCAGACTTCCTAGCATGTCCTGCAGAGGCCCCACGTTACCCAGAACCTTCTTTTTACCCCCTATGTATTTAAAAACAGACTTCTTGTTGTCTTTGATCTGGGTCACTAGCCCCAGTTCCATCTCCACCTTGGCCTTCCTGACTGCCCCACTACAAACCCGAGCAACAGCTGTATAGTCCTCCCTGGTGATGGCCCCTTCCTTCCATTGGGTGTATGCCTCCTTTTTAGCCTTGAGATGTTCCTGGATACTTTTTGTTAGCCAAGGGGGCTTTTAAGCACTCTTGCTCCCTTTGACCCATGTTGGGATTGCCACCCTTTGAGCTTGGAGGATCATCTCCTTCAGGAACAACCAGTCTTCTTGGACTCCCAACTCCCCTCCCCTCCGGGACCTCAGTCTTTCCCTGACTAATCTCCTTACTTCATTGAAATCCACCCTCCTGAAGTCCAGGGTTACTGTCTTGCTGCTGGCCTTTGCCACTCTGTGCTGGATGGTGAATTCCAGTAGGCGATGATCGCTGACTTGTTTTACAGTCAAACATCCACAGACTTCCCTCAAGCACTTTCTGCCATTGGGGTGTAGTAGCAGAGAGGTTCAGGGTTAGGGTTAGGGTTAGGGTTAGGGTTAGGGTTAGGGTCCCATCTCTGTTCCAGCAGGGTGTGTTTGGTCTTTCCCAAGCCCTGCTCTGCCATGACCCAGCAGTCAGTGAGTACCTAGTCATCTGAACCAAAGTGCCAAAAGCAGGTACATGCAACACTAGCCAAACTAGTACCCTGTATATTAAGGGCTGTACAAACCGGTGTGCCTTGACCACACTAACCTGCTAGACTCAGAGCCGTGACCCTTTTGAATTATGTCTTTAATCAAATCAATGAACTTCCAAGTGCTGCTGTTGGCTCTTGCTTGCACAAGCAAATCTCTGGTTACCGTGGGCAGATATGCAGCCGACGCAGTGCATCATCCTGCCAAGTTTGTAAGAAAGGCGAAGATTTGGCACATGGGTCCCACTGGGTGTTTTGACTATTCCATCCTTTAAAATGCGTGGTCAGCACCAAGAAGTTTGTTGTCCTGCCTCGCCTGGCTGGGGCCATAGAAAACTATCTGTAGAGCAGCTACTTCTGCTATTTGTGTGGCCAGTGCAGCAATGATGCTGGTTATTAGGAGGGAAAAGCCACCTGATGAGAAAATGAGGCAGAGATTATTGATGCTGAAGGTTTCTCTCAGGTACCCTAACCCTGGGTGCATGCTTTGGCCTGCTGAATACCCACTAAGCTTGTGACAGGGGGACAGGCAGATGGAGATCTGCCCCTGTCAACACCTGGGTGCTTCACTGAGCATCTAATAAGGGGTAACTCCTGAGCAAGGTCCAGAAGCAGGCTAGGGCTTCATTATCTGGTAACTGCTAAGCACAGCTTGGCCTGTTTAGGCTGAGTCTCTTAGAAGAACAGTGTGCTGCTCCCCAAAAGGCAGGAGGTATGGTGGGAGAAAGTAACACTGGACTGGTGCAAATTGGATTGGACTGTATTAAACAGGAGAGCAGATGCCAGGATGGGAGAGAAATTCAAGAGCTACCCTGCATTTTGGTTGTTTGCTTTTTAGTTTCCTGCTTGCTGAGCTGGGTGGCAGAGACCTGCCGGCAGAGGCTGGCACCAACAACATTCATGGGACCAAATCTCTTGCAAAGAAAACCAGTGCAAAGGAGCTGTCTTGCATCTGGATCTGTGTCTCCCTTTCATCATCCCACACCTGGTTCTTGTGTCCTCTCCTCCATCTCCTCCCAGGCCTGCAGCATCTGAACCCTTCTTCTCTGCTCCTTGTGTCCTTCTAAGTTCAACAGTAAATAAAGGAAAAGGGAGGGATTTGCAGTATGTCTTGACCATTGTGGAGTCTCAGCTTGACCATGGCAGCAAGAGAAAGTCAGTGAGTTATAGATTCAAAGGCTTCCCTTCCCTCCTGCAAATAGCATCAGATTGTTCCTGCACCTGTGCATATCAGGGCCATTGCAATATCAAATAAGCCCTGCTGTGTAGTTGAAAACCCATCCAGCAGATGATTCAGTAGCCAAAACTTGGAAATCAGCTGTCAGCCTGGCCCACCCCGGAGCCCAGGTGCAGTCCATGCCAAGGGCGGTTGCGTTCTGCATTAGCGGCTGTTGCTCAGGCACCGTAGGAGCAGTCGGATGCTCTGCACGTGGTACCCACCAGGGAGGTGCACAAAAAGCAAGGTGGCACAGCTGGCCTACAGAGGGCAAATGATTTAAAAAAAAAAAACATGCTAAGCAGGAATCAGCCAGGATAAACAGACCGACGTGTAACACTGGCCAGCTGCCGTGTTTCAGCCCCGGTGGGGCCTGTGCACCTGTCACGAGA